CCACCGTTCATAATTTTTTATACATGTCACACTTGATTCATTGCATATCCCGGTACACGGCCGGAGGCATTCATATAGAGTCGTCTTTTGTCCTAGCATCGAGTTGTAATCATTGAGTTGTAAATAGATAGAAGTGTGATGATCATCATTTTCTAGAGCATTGTCCCAAGTGAGGAATAAAAAAAAGAAAAAAAGAGAAGGCCCAAAAAAAGAGAAAAAGAGAGAACGGACAATGCTACTATCCTTTGCCACACTTGTGCTTCAAAGTAGCACCATAATCTTCATGATAGAGAGTCTTTTGTTTTTTCACTTTCATATACTAGTGGGAATTTTTCATTATAGAACTTGGCTTGTATATTCCAACAATGGGCCTCCTCAAGTGCCCTAGGTCTTCGTGAGCAAGCAAGTTGGATGCACACCCACTTAGTTTCTTTTGTTGAGCTTTCATACATTTATAGCTTTAGTGCATCCATTGCATGGCAATCCCTACTCCTTGCATTAACATCAATCGATGGGCATCTCCATAGCCCATTGATTAGCCTCGTTGATGTGAGACTTTCTCCTTTTTTGGCTTCTCCACATAACTCCCATCATCATATTCTATTCCATCCATAGTGCTATGTCCATGGCTCGCGCTCATATATTGCGTGAAAGTTTATAGGTTTGAGATTACTAAAGTATGAAACAATTGCTTGGCTTGTCATCGGGGTTGTGCACGATGAGAGCATTCTTGTGTGACGAAAATGGAGCATGACTGAACTATATGATTTTGTAGGGATGAACTTTCTTTGGCCATGTTATTTTAAGAAGACATAATTGCTTAGTTAGTATGCTTGAAGTATTATTATTTTTATGTCAATATGAACTTTTATCTTGACTCTTTCGGATCTGAATATTCATACCACAATTAAGAAGAATTGCATTAAAATTATGCCAAGTAGCACTCCGCATCGAAATTATCTTTTTTATCATTTACCTACTCGAGGACGAGCAGGAATTAAGCTTGGGGATGCTTGATATGTCTCCAACGTATCTATAATTTTTGATTGCTCCATGCTATATTATCTACTGTTTTGGACATTATCCGGCTTTATTTTGCATTTTTATATTATTTTTGGGACTAACCTATTAACCGGAGGCCCAACCCGGAATTGCTGTTTTTTGCCTATTTCAGAGTTTTGTAGAAAAGGAATATCAAACGGAGTCTAAACGGGATGAAACCTTCGGGAACGTGATTTTCGGAACGAACATGATCCAGGAGACTTGGACCCTACGTCAAGAAATAAAGGAGGAAGCCACGAGGTAGGGGGCGCGCCTACCCCCCAGGCGCGCCCTCCACCCTCGTGGGCCCCCTGTTGCTCCACCGACGTACTCCTTCCTCCTATATATACCTACGTACCCCCAAACGATCAAAAATGGAGCCAAAAAGCTAATTCCACTGCCGCAACCTTCTGTATCCATGAGATCCCATCTTGGGGCCTGTTCCGGAGCTCCGCCGGAGGGGGCATCCATCACAGAGGGCTTCTACATCAACACCATAGCCTCTCCGATGAAGTGTGAGTAGTTTACCTCAGACCTTCGGGTCCATAGTTATTAGCTAGATGACTTCTTCTCTCTTTTTGGATCTCAATACAATGTTCTCCCCCTCTCTTGTGGAGATCTATTCGATGTAATCTTCTTTTTGCGGTGTGTTTATTGAGACCGATGAATTGTGGGTTTATGATCAAGATTATCTATGAACAATATTTGAATCTTCTCTGAATTCTTTTATGTATGATGGGTTATCTTTGTAAGTCTCTTCGAATTATCAGTTTGGTTTGGCCTACTAGATTGATCTTTCTTGCAATGGGAGAAGTGCTTAGCTTTGGGTTCAATCTTGCGGTGTCCTTTCCCAGTGACAGTAGGGGCAGCAAGGCACGTATTGTATTGTTGCCATCGAGGATAACAAGATTGTTTTTTTTACCATATTGCATGAATTTATCCCTCTACATTATGTCATCTTGCTTAATGCGTTACTCTGTTTTCATGAACTTAATACTCTAGATGCATGTTGGATAGCGGTCGATGAGTGGAGTAATAGTAGTAGATGCAGGCAGGAGTCGGTCTACTTGTCTCGAACGTGATGCCTATATACATGATCATACCTAAATATTCTCATAATTATGCTCAATTCTGTCAATTGATCAACAGTAATTCGTTCACCCACCGTAAAATACTTATACTCTTGAGAGAAGCCACTAGTGAAACTTATGGCCCCGGGGTCTATCTTCATCATATTAATCTTCCAATACTTAGTTATTTCCTTTGCTTTTTACTTTGCATCTTTATCGCAAAATACCAAAAATATTATCCTATCATATCTATCAGATCTCACTCTCGTAAGTGACTGTGAAGGGATTGGCAACCCCTTATCGCGTTGGTTGCGAGAAGTTATTTGTTTTGTGCAGGTACGAGAGACTCGGGCGTAGCCTCCTACTGGATTGATACCTTGGTTCTCAAAAACTGACGGAAATACTTACGCTACTTTGCTGCATCATCCTTTCCTCTTTAAAGAAATCCAACGTAGTGCTTAAGAGGTAGCAAACGCGCAATTTAAGAGGGTTTTTTTTTAAAATTAAAACCAACAAAGAAAACACATACAAGCAACCTTTCCATCCCTGGTAAACTGCGCCAAGAAGTCTGGGAATAACTCTTTGTTTTTTAGCAAAAGCAGCTAGGCTTTATTAATCAACGATAATGTTTACAGGAATAGATTTCACATCATGAGGCCCAGCCACACATGTCTACCGAGAGAAAGGGAAAGACCAAACGAGCTAAGATATGGGCTTCGAAATTCGAAGCTCATGACTCAACTTGAAAACATACTTTTTTTTACAGTAATCACTAATCTCTCTGATGAGCTTCTGTAGTTTCCATCTACACCTTGGTCTATGTGGTTGATAACTTGCTTGCAGTCCAAACCGATGAACAAGTGTCGCATTTTGGGAATAACTCTAGCAAAAGGGTACTCCTATAGGGCGCCTTCACCACCGGCTAGAGGATTGTCGCCCACGCGCCCGCGAACTGGGACGGCCCAGATTGCCTCATTCGCTGTCCCACATCGCCTGGTTCGCTCGATTGCAGTTGACTGGTCGACAGTTGACATTTGAAAAAATAACATAATTTTTTTTAAATCCGGCAAAAATTGAAAAAACGGAAAAAATAAATGTTCATGAATTCTGAAAGAGAGTTCGCAAACTTTTGAAAAGTCCATCCATTTTGAAAAAAAATCATCGAATTTGAAATAAAGTTCATCAATTTGGAAAAAACATAAATTTTACAAAAAGTTTATCCATTTGAAAAAAGATCATAGATTTTGAAAAAAGTTCACCGATTCGAGATAAAGTTCATGAATTTGAAAAAAAAGTTCAAAAATTTGAAAAAAAAGTTCACGCACTTATCAGAAAAGAAGAAAGAAAAAAGGAATAAACCAAACAAAACCATTTCCAAGAAAAAGGAAAGAAGGAAGAAGAAAAGGATGAAAAGGCTGTAAGTAAACACGAACACGTGAGTTGCCCGAGTGGTAAGGGCAGCGCACAAGTAGTTGCGAGATCGCCGGTTCAAATCGCACCCTCGCTATTGAGTACTCCTTCAGGAGCCACCCCCCCCCCCCAAGGGTCGCTTGGGGTTGGTTGGGAGCCGTCACTTGCTCTCAGCCGCTGCCATGTGTCGCGCTCTGGGTGCTCCCTTAGTTTTTTTTTCTCTATGTGTTTTTGGCTTTTAGACAATTTCCTTTTCGGTTTTTCTCTTTCCCCCCGGTTTTCTTAGGATTTAGACAAAAAAATTGTTATTTTTGCTCAAAAATGTCTCTTTTTTCTACCACGAGAGGCACATATTTAATTCTCGTGGAGGCACAGATTTTCTTTTAGAGGAGGCACGGGCGTGCCTCTCGGAAAGGAAAAAAAATGTGTTTTCTTTTTTTTGTTCCTGCGAGAGGAAGGGATTTATTTCTCGTGGAGGCACGAGTTTGATTCTGCCTCTCGGAAAGGAAAAAAATGTGTCTTTTTTGTTTCGCAAGAGGCACACATTTACTTTTCATGGAGCACGAATTTGTTTACGCGAGAGGCACATGCGTGCCTCTCAGAAAGGGGAAACACTTGTTTTCAAATTTGCTTCCAAGAGGCATGAATGTGCCTTTCGGAAAGGTAAAAAACGCATGCCTCTTTGGAAAGGGGAAAAAGGTGCTTCTGGTTTGGGTTTTTCCAAAACGAAAAAAACGTGTTCCAGGTTCGGGTTTTTTTGTCCGTTTTTTTTTTGAAAAAAATATTCGTCGAAAACTATCAACATGGGATCTAGTTTTGAAGATCTCGACGCGAGGGACCCAACGGCGAAAATGCTGCAAGATTTAGTCGCATGGTTTAAGAGATAAAACATTTTAAATAAACGAATCTGGGAAGGCGGGAGTGTTCTTTGGAAGGAGTACTTCTCAATTACTGATTTGGAAGAGACGGGTAGGATGGGCCGTGCTCAGCATTTAACTTCATGCTGGGCCCGTGTCACAGCACCAGCGTTAGCCTGGGCAGCCCATATTACTGCGCTTGACCGGTTCAAGTTTTTGGCGCCAGTGCGGATCCCTTTCTCTGCTGCCCTGCAATTGGCGCCCGCTCCCCTCCACGCTGACACACACACGTCGCCGCCCAATGCCAACCTTCCACATGGAGGCGCATGGCACCAAACCATCTTACTACCAGGTCAACCAGCATCTCCACAGGCCACAGCATACGCCGCCGCATAAACATCTCCGCCGGCCGCGCGGCGCTCGCACGCCAACTGCCAACGCCACCATAAGTACCTTCTTCACACCGGTTAGGCCCCTTCACCCGCTCCAAGCCGCATCCTTCCATCCATCCATCCTTCCCAGCACGCAGCCAGCTGATCGAGCTCATCGATCCCTCCCCCTCCTCCTCCTCCTCCTCTGTTAAACAGCGTTGCACCGAGAGAGACAGATACCAGAGGCGTCCATGGGCTCCGGGACGAGCTCCTGCTGCGGCGGCGCCGAGAAGGTGGGGCACGGGTGCGTGAGCGCGTCATCGGGCGCCGCGGCGGGGACGGGCAGCGGCGGCGGCAGCACGTGGAGGATCTACAGCTACAAGGAGCTCCACGCCGCCACGGGCGGCTTCAGCGAGGAGAACAAGCTCGGCGAGGGCGGCTTCGGCAGCGTCTACTGGGGCAAGACCCCCGACGGCGTCCAGATCGCCGTCAAGCGCCTCAAGCCCAACAACAACAACTCCAAGGCCGAGATGGAGTTCGCCGTCGAGGTCGAGGTGCTCGCCCGCGTCCGCCACCGCAACCTGCTGGGGCTCCGCGGGTACTGCGCCGGCGCCGCCGCCGACCAGCGCATGATCGTGTATGATTACATGCCCAACCTCAGCCTCCTGTCCCACCTCCACGGCCAGTTCGCCTCCGACGCCACCCTCGACTGGCGCCGCCGTGTGGGTGTGGCCGTTGGTGCCGCCGAGGCGCTTGTGCACCTCCACCACGAGGCTTCTCCCAGCATCATCCACCGGGACATCAAGGCCAGCAACGTGCTGCTTGACTCCGACTTCGCGCCGCTCGTCGCTGATTTTGGGTTCGCCAAGCTCGTCCCCGACGGCGTCTCGCACATGACCACCAGGGTCAAGGGCACCCTCGGCTACCTCGCGCCGGAGTACGCCATGTGGGGCAAGGTCTCCGGGGCGTGCGACGTGTACAGCTTCGGCATCCTTCTCGTCGAACTGGTGTCGGGCAGGAAGCCTATCGAGAGGCTGCCGTCGGGTGCCAAGCGCACCATCACCGAGTGGGCGGAGCCCCTCATCGCGCGCGGCCGGCTCGGGGACCTCGTGGACCCGCGCCTCCGTGGCGTCTACGACGCGGCGGAGCTGGCGCGCATGCTCGAGGCCGCCGCGCTCTGCGTGCAGGGGGAGCCCGAGCGGCGTCCGGACATGCGCGCCGTCGTGCGGATCCTGCGCGGCGCGACTGCCGCTCCTGACGGCGCGGCCGCGGCGGCCTCCAAGGGGGGCAACGACGCCCAGGTCCGGCCTGCGGTGAGGATGGAGAGCGTCAAGTACGCAGACCACCTTATGGAGACGGAGAACAGCGTGTACTCCGGCGACGGGGACGAGGACGAGGTAGACGACGAGAAGGAGGCCGCCGACTACAGCAGCGACGAGGTGGAGGAGTACTCGCTGATGGACGACCAGAGCAGCATGAACTTCGGCGTGTTCGGCGCCATGCCGGTGGTGCCGGTGCAGACCATGCACGACCCCTACGTCAGGAGGTTTGGAGGAAATGGCGTCAAGATATGATAATGTGCTATTCTATTGTGTGACAATGCCGGCTATGTTATATTAATTTCGTTGATGTAAACCTGTGCTTAATTAGTTGGGATCAAGCTGGTGATTAAATTTATTGTAATTTATGGGACTTGGAAGTAAGTTCTTGTTTTCATTAAACACAAAATATTAAGTTCTTGTACATGCTATCTTTGAATGAGCGCGCATGTTGGCCTAGCCCATTTGCTTGATGGTCTACAGTGGGAGCCTCATGGTGAGCTTTCTACGAGGAAACCAAGAAGATGACTAGAGATTTTGTGCCATGCTGCGTGACCAAAATCTACAGGGAGAACAATGTGGCCGCACATGAGCTAGCTGCTTATGCTAGAGTCCATGGAGACTTCCTTCTTTTACCTGATGTGCCGCAGGTTTTTTCTCTTGAAACACGAGGCAAAAGCTTTGCTCGTTTCATTAATTAAGAAGAAGATTGCACAGTTAATTATGAAAATCGGGTGAAAATCGATACAAACGGGGCCAAGCCCCCACTCGTTACATGAACAAGCCAATGCGTTTCGTAGCACCACAAGGCCACACCAAAACTTGCCAACGACACACCACAAACATCACATGAGCACACTAACCGCACGCACACAGACCGACTCACGGTTGCCGAAGAGAAGAAGTCGCGACTGCTACGGGTGGAGCAGACCCGGGACTCTCCTATGCGCCACAGGATTTGAAACATGTAATCATGCCTGATGTAACCCAGAATAATTGAAATATAAGAGCTCCCTTTATCCTCCCAAAACAAAGAAAAAAGCTTCAGCAACATCTGGCAGTTGAAGTTTGGGGTGCCGCCATTTGTATGAGCAATTGAGCAGAGTAAAGTAACTTGTGTGATGCATGCATTTGTGTACATACATGTTCTCCTTTGTCAAACATATAGATAAAAATATCATTTCATTATAGCTAAATTTAGATCAGAATATCTAGTGACAGTGACTCCTGTTGGTAGTTGCCTCGAGTTGTTCGCTTGATTTCAATTCTACCATTTGGCAGTAAGGCGGGTGACGAACCATATACAGCTGCAGCTCAAGACAGACAGATAGTTGTGCCTCCTTTTTCTTCAGACAAAACCATATACAGCTGCAGCTCAAGGCGGGTGACGAACCATATAACAACACATTTATTATTAGATTCATCTCGGAATATATTTTCATATTATATTTATTAGATGTTATAGATGTTAATATTTTTTAATAGAGGTAAATTCACTAGGAGTCTTAGAACTTGCAGTGTATTTATATTTTTGCAAAAAAACCCTCAGAGTTTTAAACCCGTCACGAATAACTCCATCTTCTTACTTCGTGCTCCCCCGTCGCCCGCGCCTCGCAGTCATCGTTGGCTTCCCACCTGCGTCGCCGCCCGCCTGGACCTGCGCCGCGACCAACACCAGCGCCGCCGCCCGCCTGGACCTCCGCCGAGGCTTCCCACCTGCGGCGCCCGCCGGAAGGCAACCTGCGCTGGCGCCCGCCTCGAGCTGCGCCGCCGGCCCCATTGAATCTTGCTTCACACGGTCGCCCACATGCGCCGCCCGCGGTCGCCCACCCGCGCAACCACCTTCGCCGCCCACGGCCACAAACCTGCGCCTCTGACTTCGTCCGCTTCGGCCGCCGGCGCCGTGGACAATTCCGGCCACTCCCGCCTCTGATGTTGCCACTGCTGGTGGACAACGCCGACGTGGACCTCTGATGATGCTTCTTCCCTTTCTCTTGCCCCGACTCTACTCGTACTGGTGCTGGTGAGTCTGCCCCGCCCGCCTCTGCTACTGCTGCTGTTCAACTAGTGGTGTGAGTCTGAAGATTATTGTTGTGTCTGGAGAGCCTACAAAGATAATTCCTGAACCTGCAAGATAATTACTGAATTGAGTTGAGGTAGTTGAGTTGAGTTGTCATGCTGACATGGTGCAATGTTGATACAAAAAAAAATCCAGTTAACTTTTTCAACACAAGTTAACTGCATTCAGATCTCTTGATGCTCAAAACCTGTTAATTTCTGTCAGCTTTTGATCTGTCAAGTTGATGTCAAACTTGACACATAAAGTTGATAATCAGAATATTTACAGTTCCCCAAATCACAAAACTGGATCTAAACAGTGCATCTGATAATTTTTAAGGACACACCAAAGGAATCAGTTGTCACTGTTAATTGATTGGAAAATGCATGCTTCCATGAGTGCACTGAAAATTCAGGGAACAACTTCTATCTACACATGGTCATGCAACAGAACAACTGAGATAGGGAACTGAAATCAGTGCAAGAGCAGCGTAGGTGAGTGCAAGAGTAACAAAGTCAGGACATGGTGATATCCTCCCATCTCTAGATAAATACAGTAACAAAGTTAAGAATATGTTGAGGCATCAGTCAATCTATGTAAATGCATATTCCAGCATGGTCATATAGCAGCACCACTTCATATAGCAGCAGAACTTAAATGATTCCTAGATGCACTAGTAATCATTTTGTTTAAAACTTAACAAACTTTATTTGGATTTATTTGAATTTATTTGAATCATTTGAATTTATTTGCTTTATTTGGATTTATACACCATTTGTCCAATTGCAAACATACCCAAAGTTTCCAATTAGACAGTAATGGCAAGATGCAAAATGGTGCTAGTAAATTCAGTTCTGCAAAAAACAAGACTGAAACAGGGTAGTGTTGAGCATGTCCTAGCACTAGCAGCAAATTCAGGCCAGATTTAGCCAAATTGGAAACATTATTCCTGTAGAAACAATTCAAGCAGCACAAAACTCCAATTGAGGGAAATTATTTGAATTATGCACCTTCAAGCAGCACATATACTCCAAAGGGATTGTGGCTGTTCTCCTTCTGTTCACTATGCTCTAGAAATTTAGTTGGAGTATTTGTCACTATGCTCTAGAAATACGAACAATGGAAGTCAATTTCAAACTGATAGACTGCAGAAAACTGCCACAATCCCTTAACTAAGAGTTGATAAAAACATGTCCCTAAAACTTATTCAGACAGTTAGGTCCCCTGTTAAGTTAACTGAATTATTCAGTCAGTTAGATCTGAACAAAGCCTCTGAAGTAACCTGCCTACTAACCCTCTCTCTTCTTCAGTAAGATCTGAACAAGACTATATCTACATACTGTTAAAGCTTCAAATTCAGAGCACTACATCATCCAGTTTGGCACTACACGCAGCTCTAAATTAAGACTAAATCAAATTTGACACAAATGCAGTACTACCTCTTTGTAGGCTTGGAAGGCACAGACAGACAGCACTAGCATTTTTGTCAAAAATTCTACTCCCTCATAAATCAATGTTGACTAAATTTTTTTAAGTGCTCTCCCTAAAAATCACTAAAGTAGGAAATCTTTAACATAATGTACCCTGCAGCTTTGTTCAATTGGTACAGTCAACAGTGGGTTTTGTTCAATTGATCAGGAGTAGGAGATCTTGGTGTCAGACCAAAAATTCAGTTATGCACACTGTTAGTTCTTATCCTCATTTTTTCACATTGGTGAAAGAGCCTGTCATTGCAAATTCAGTTAAGTGTTTGCTTGCTTTAGTTTGACAGAAATTTTGTCCTTGTAAACTTGCTGCAAGGTCAACATGTGCTGTTATAAATTGAGATATACTCTAGCTGCAGTAGTCTTAGTGATCAAAATTGCAAGCATGTCAAGTCAGAGAAGCATGTCAGCTAACTTCAGACTTAACAATAAAGATGAAAATTTAAGACTTGGCAATACAAATTCAGACTTGGCATGAGATAGATGAGCACGAGGAGGACCTGAAGGAGGAGGAGCCTGGGATGTTGAGGAGGATCCTCCTTCGTTGGGGTCGACTTCCGCAGCCGCCGCTGTCGTCTTCCCCATGCCGTCGTCGCCGGTGATGTTGAGGAGGGCCTGGAGGAGGAAGAGGAGCTGGTGGATCAGGAGCTCGAGGACGAGAGCGCCCGCCCCATGCCGTCGCCATGCTCCAGATCGAGCGCCAACTTGTCGTCATCCTCCAGATCGAGCGGTGCCTCGTCGAAGAGAACCTCACCGGAAAAAGGGATTTTTAGGGGAGAGGAGGAGCTACGCAGCGAACTGGAGCGGCGCGGCGGCGTGGAGGAGGGAGAGGAGGCGCGGGGGATCTCAGCGGGGCGAGGCAAGTTTTTGTCATGAAACTTGCGCGGGCGCGCAAATACGGTCACACTTTCCAAGCATACATGGGTGTATTCGCCGCCTACGTGGCCAGGGCCCATTGTCTGTGGCTAGTGCACGTGATGTGTTTCTTTTACTTTGTACAAAAGCACTCCAGCAATAGCTGTACTTGGGTCCACCCGTCAGGGTACGTTGTGCATATATTGGGCAGGAAAAAAATCGGCCGGAGCCAGTTCGAATCAGCGACCTGGCGGAATGTCGCTAGCGACAACTGATTTTGCTCGCTGTTTCATTTGGACAACTAGGGTATATCACCTCTAGGATAAAATACACATTCTGAATATATTTTCTTTTCTCTAGATTTTCAAATTTAAAATTATTCCGAGTCAAACAAAATTTCTGCTCATTTGTTGGAAACGAAATTACATACATACATTCCGCACTATATTTTTTAATGAAATTATTCGAATTGAAAAAAAAAAGATTTTTCTGGATTTTTTTATGTATATTCATTCTAACATATATTTTTATCTAGATTTTCCAATCTAAAATTATTTGAATTAAAAAAAAATTCCGTTGATTTGTTCGAAAGAAATTTACGTACATTCATTATGAACTCTATTTCTTTTATATAGATTATTCAAATTCAAACAAAAATTAGTTGATTTGTCCGGAAAAATTACTTACATTCATTCTGACCCATAATTTCTTTTATATAGATTTTCAAATTGAAAATTATTCGAATTCAAACAAAATTGTATTGATTTGTCCCCAAAAAATGCATACATTCGTTGTGCACTATATTTCCTTTTATCCATATTTTTTAATTTTAAATTATTTAAATTCAAACAAAAATT